TGGTATCACAAACAAAGCTTCAAAGGAGCATGGCCAACATGTTATCGTCTATCCCTGCTTTGTCCCTTCTTTCCCTACTTATAGGGTTCTCTATTTTTGCTCCCACTTTTTCTTCGTTTTCTTTTCTTTACAAAATCTAATTTTGAGATTTACTATTATCTCACACAAGTGCAATTGTAACTCTAATAGACTCAACAAAACTGATTTAAAAATTGAGGAAACTAAACAAATCAAGGGTTTCTATTTCTTCCTGCCAAAATTTGGATTTAAAAGTTCTTGTGATTGTGGAACTATTGTTGTAAATTTGAACTATATTTATGAAAGATAAAATATGCCAAATGAGGTATCATTGCGTAAATCTCAACAAATTATATGAAATAGAAAGGAAAAAACTGATTTGGATACCTGAGTCAAAAGTTGCGGCCGTCTAGAATTTTTTGGTAATAAGACTATCGAGATTGAGTCGCTGGGCACAATCGTATAAGTGCGCGAGCATTAAAAAATTTCTATTAATAAATATCGGAAATCAATATTAAATTAATACATTAAAAAAAAAAAAAAAAAAAAAAAACATTGGTAAGAGAGCCCGCTACCAAGCAATCATGCTAGCTTGAACCTCCAATGCAATCAAAAAGCTTGGGTACAGAATTATAGATAAATCAATGAATGTAAAACCTTTTTACGTAGACATGTTACTCTATTTGCTAACTAAAATCACTGAATAACACTTTCGAATGAAAATAAATATTAACCACAAAAAAAGTGTTCGCTTTTAACAATAGTTTAGGGTTTTATGAATGTTATGTTATAAAAAAGTTATTAGGTTATATTATAGAAACAATGATAATGTGTCCCATATTTTTTTATTAATTTTTTTTTAAAATAGTAATGAATCGATATTTGTATAATATAACCTAACAACTTTTCTATAATATAATAGATTAATACTTCTTTTTCCCTAGTTTAAAATACTTGTAACTTTTAAACTTTTTTTTTTTTTTGGAGTTACTCAATCCTAATTATCTCTTTGAGACGAGTTGGCTCCCTCCGGTATCCCCACGAGCTTCGACTCTTTGAGCCGGCTATGAGACTAATCCGAAGTGCGGAAGAACAGTGATGGCTAAAGGTTCAGCCCCTCCCCACGAACTTTTAAACTTTTTTCTCTGCACTTGCCGTTCTTTTATTTTTTTTTCGCCTTGGAATTGGATTATGAGTCGTACAACTTAATGGGAACCACTATTTTTAACTTCAATGCCTTAATCAATTGCAAATATGAATAAGTTGAAGAAAAAAATAAGTTATATTATAAAAATTGTACCATAATTAATTATAGATTAACTAATTATATTAAAAATGGAAAAAAAGAAGTATCATTTAAAAGGATACAAACTTGTGTTCTTTTAATTGATTTATATAAAGTCCGACTGGTTAGACTTTATGTAAATCTGAAAAGTTTTTTTTTCTCTCTTCAGTTACGTCGCTGACGTATAAAGTAAAAAAAAAAAATTCATATTTACACAAAATATGACCGGTCATACTTTGTGTAAATCATTAAAAAAACACAACTTACATTCTTTAAAAGAACCCACACTAAACCCATTGAAAATTGTATTTTTCTTTCTAAGAAATAATCATATCATATTAAGTTATTCGATATTAGAAAAGAATCCTAATTTATTATTAAAAAAAAAAACATAGATGCAAAAAGTGAAAAAGGAATGAGGAAGAACGAAGAATTGCATAGTCACATATAGACAATGTCGAAAAAAGAAATTGTTAAAAATTTACACTCTGACTTAGTTAACAAGAATCTTACATTGTGCTAGATGACATAATGTGTTTCGCTGGTCAGTAATACAATTTAATCATGACGTATCAGAAAATAATTTAAGCGTCGTGTTATATAAACATTTTTTCCCCCACAAATTGTAACAAATTAATCGTTATCCCCCGTAACGCAAATCACCACTAATTATTGCCCTCCTTTTTATTCATTTATTTTAGAGATTAATATTTATTATGTTGTAGGAGATAATTTTATCTCCTATATATACATAAAAGTATGTGAAAATTATATGCTCTGTATGAGAGCATGTGAAAGATGAAGAAAAAAATATAGATCTCATACACTTTATATATATGTAGGAAACAAAATTTATTTCCTACAACATAAAAATTATTAGAGTAAAAATCATTTTTGGTCCTCAACAAATTTCACGATACCCGCTTTAGTCCCTAGCCAATAAAAAGCTATTCGTGGTCTCTAAAAAATTTAAAATGGACCTATATAGTTGAAATCGTGATCTCTCACAAATTCAAAAAAGACTTACATTAGTCCTTCAAAAGAATTAAAATCGGTCCACTTTGAATTTCTTAAAAATCACTAATAACCTTTTTATTTACTAGAGACTAAAGTGAATATCGTAAAATTTGTTAATAACCGAAAATGGTATTTACTGAAATTATTATTCCCTCTATTTTGTGTCCCTTTCTCTTCCTGGTCCCATCGAGGGCTGTGATGATGATATGCATCATTTCTGGTTTTAAAAATTAAGTACTCAACAGTAGCATTTTTGAAAAATTATGAATTCCTTCATATAATGAGACATGTATACTCAGATAAATATATGGTATCTGTAGATTCCTAGATTCAGTTTAATCATCGTGATAATGATATAAGGGTGGAGCATTTTTTATTTCATGTGTTTGAAACAATAAAAATCTATGCATGCAGAGAATGGTAGGATTTTGTAAAGTTGTGCCCCGCCGCCTTCTCCTCCGATGCAACGACCAGACCCTCATTTTCTTTAATTGAGCTTTCGCTGCAAATCTACGAAAGGCGTCCTTCTTCAGAATATAATGCAAAATTGATTTTTTATTATTTTCCATTTGTTCAATTTTACAGAAACTACCACAGTAATGCTTGAGTCAAATCATCAGAACAGAAGCTCTGATGATAGTAAAGTGCAGATTTGGAAATCATTTAGGATCTTCAGAATCTTGAAGATGTAGTGGAGCCTTAAACCTCTTCTATTCCTTGCATTAGGAGAGAAGCAGGTCACACTAATGAATACTGAATTAGATGTTTATCTTATCTCAGCTATTGTCCATTAATAAACAAGAATCAATATCATATTCTGTTTTTTTCAACGTGTTGAATGTCTCTTATATTCTATTTTTTTTAATTCAAAATATACCCATATTAATCATTTTAAACGACTAACATGAATTTTCTTTGAATTTAAGAGGAATCACAATTTCAACCAATTGAATCTATTTTGGAATTTAAAAGAATCAGAAGTCAATTTTTTTTTTCCTAAAAGAATAAATTGGGCCCCTTAATTTTCGTTGAGGAATCAAAAAATACTTTACTATTTTTTTCCCCAAAGATTTGTTTCTACCTTGCACACAGTGGCACAAGTGCAGGTTCGTCTCTATGGGGAAAAAATATATAACGTTATTTTAGATAATTTTATCTAATGTTCATCGAAACGACGTCGTTTTAGGATTGAAAAATTAAAAATTTAGAATGATAAAGAATATTATAATCCAGAAATAAATTAAAATTACAAATACAATATAATTTTTGCCCCAAAATGACATCGTTTCGATGAATATTAGACAAAAGACAAAGTTATTTAAAATAACTTTAAAAAAAAGAATCTTATATATATGGGTATTTTTTTTTCTCTTGTCCTTCACATCCATCAAAAGTCCCACCCCTTTTTTTGAAATAAAAATAAAAATTGATAGGTCCCACCTTTTGTTTATCTCCGCAAGAAGGTTAATAGTTTCTTATGCAATAGAAGAAATTATTAACACCTCTCTCTCTCTTTCTATATATATATATGGGTAAAGGATTTCTTCAGTCAATAGAAATAAGTTATTTTCGGTAAGTTCAAAACAATGTCTTTTTGAGACAGAAATTAAGGTATTTTTATAATTATACTAAATTGCAGGGTTATATTAGTTTTTATCATTATAATTTTTTAATCTTATTATTATATATATATATGTGTGTGTGTGTGTGTGTATGAAGCATAATCCTTTGACACCGATGTCAAACTTTAAAATTTGACATCAAATCCTAACCATTGATTTCCGTCAATCAACGGTTATTATTTATTAATAATTAATATTAATTAATAAGTTTGATTCCCAATAAATTATAACTGTTTATTGGCAAAAATTAAAAGTTAGGACTAGATGTAGTGGACTATATATATATAGTTATATAGTTATAGGGATTTACATCTATCATTTAACATGACCACAATAATTTTCCTACTCACATAACATTTTGTGGGACCCACAATTTTTGAAGCAAAAAAAAAAAACTCTGGCACGCAAAACGAATCTCTATAACATAACACAATTACTTTTTCCTACAACATAATTCTTATAAAACCTATAGTTATATTCATAATCTCTTTATCCTTATAATATTATCGCTAGATAAAAAATGGTTTATCTAATTTTGATTCAATAACAAAGAAATTGATTATAAGAGATTGTAAGGATAAAGGGGTATTCAGAGACAATTACTAGTATGTGGCAATCTCCGAAAATGTTTGGCTTTCTTTTTCATCAAAGTTATTTTGAGATAATTAATCTCAATTTGGCTCGTGATTGAGATTGAGATGGTCCTACAGCTATCAAAGCAAGGTAGGCAGAATTGACCGAGCACTTAGGTATGTCTCAAGCACAATACTCAACAACCTTCTCCAACGCAGACCCAGAGAAAAAAGAGAAGACACAACATTCAAAAGTAGATAGCTAGAAAGATATGTTAGAAGGAATAAACCAAAACCTTCTTCCAAGGAGCCCACATCAAGGCACTATCAAACTATCATAGATTAAAAAAGAATGAACAGCCCTTGCAATTATTAGGTACAACTTGAAGGAGGATAGAAGAGAGAAATATCCACCATCTTCAATAAGCTCCTTTGGTTAAACAAAAAAAACAAAAAAATAGGCCAAATTAGTTTCAAGTTCGGATCTTAATTCAACATTATTGACTCTTGTTGAATCCCATCCAGCATTTGGTATACAGCTTCAGCTATCTCAGCCACTGATCCCAGCTTGCAATCATCTTCCACCTACAAAACAAAATAAAAAAAAAAATTTCATTAGTACACTTTCACTTTCACTGCTTACAAAGACATGGAGAAGAAAAGAACCCCCAAAGACTGGTAAAAGTGCTTGGAAAGTGAAAACCAAAAAGGCACCATACACAAACCTTAACACTGAGAGAATAGAGGACAGTTTCCCCGGTGGTAGTAACATGTAGGTGCAAGATTGTGAGACGCATGCCATGCAAACTAGATACCATCTTCAAGAGCTGCTTTGGCCGTTTCTTTGATCTTATTTTGAGATTTGCATGGTTCTCCACCATTGTCACTTCTATATCAGCAATGCCACACTCAACCTCACCCACTTGTTCACCCATTGCCTCAGAATTATCACAACCACTAGCAGTACTTGTGTACTGTGGAAAGGTGAAGAACTCAGAAAATGGCATATCTGCACCCTTATAAAAATTTCCCTCTTTTTCTCTCTGAGAACCAAGAAATTGCAGCCTCTGCTCAAGCTCCTTAACAAAGTTAATAGCACCTCCAATAATAGATGCTTGATCACCCTGCATTCATCAATGAAAACACAAACAAATTATGTTAACCCATTTCAAGAATTTGAAAAGCAGAACCATATTATTAAGCATGTTTCGATGGAACAAAGATTTAATCAAAGTACCCTTTGGACGTAAGATTTAGGCATTAAAGACCGAAGAACAGAGAGATACTCATTCATTTGCTTCCTTCGGTTGCGCTCTACAGTGATGTGAGTCATTCTTTGGTTCTCAATTTCTTCCTTATTCTTTCTGCTTTTCGTTCTTCTCCTCTTACGACGAGAAGGCGTGGAAGTTGAGCTATTTAAGTTGTGTGTGGTGCTGGGTTCAGTGGCCTCCGAAGATGGATTATTAGAGACATGAAGTTCATTCGTGCGGGGCAACATTGATGGCGGAGAGCAATTCCAATCTCCATAAGGAAAATTCTCTGTTTGGTTCTCGAGAAAATTGATAGAACCATGCTCTTCTTTTTCGAGGTTGAAATCGCCATAGCCCCAGTTGCCTCCATCACATGCTAATAAGTTGTAGTTGTTCAGATCTTTGATCCCATAACCAAATGGGTCTTGTTGTTGTGGATATACTACTGCTTCTAGTGCCATGGCTATCTCACTATATTTCTCTCCCTGCAAACACATGCACACGATTTTGAGGTCGAGGTCCTGAAAGAAGAAGAAGAAGATGATGAGAAAAAGCCAAGTTGCGTCCTTTTCAAGAATATTTTTAAGCTTATAAAGGCCTTGGATGAGGTGAAAATACGAAATTAATGGACAGTGCTTTGCCCGTGAAATAATGTGGATCACATAATCTCTCTACCTTTTTTCCATGACTTTGCTCTCACTTCTTTATGGATTTCTCCTTGAATTTTTTACACGCAGCAAAACTCTGTCAGTTAAGTAAGTCTTAATCTATGCTTTCTATATTATTGAATTACAACAATAGAAATAGTATACTAGTGACCTAGGAAATTTTTAGTGACTTATTATATGAATAGTTACATAGGATATACTCCTGCGAGATGGTTAGTGATTTATAACATGCTTAGTAACTTAGGTTATAATTAGTGACTTAGGAGAATTGTAGTAACTTATAATATATGCATAAAGAATTTTATTCATACTTAATAAATTAGATTATGCATACATACTTTTAAAATGACTATAAATTTTGATCGTAGTTAGTCTAATTTATTTTGTGAAGTGAGTTAGAGCATACATGACGAATATATTATGCTTAGTGATGCGCATTAAAATTAATAAAAATTTTATTTGTAATTTAATATTTTTTAAAATCTTAATTATAGCAATGTACTAGACATGTAAATTATTTGAAATTAAATTATTTATAGCAATGAATTTTTAATTTTTTTACAGTATATTATTATGGTTGAGTCGTCGTCATCTGAGTATTCTCTGTCTTTATTCGAGCACTAGCCTGAGCCTACTCATCCCACCACACATGTTCTTCCTACACCATACATGTGGGACACACTCCGTAGCCGAACACGGCGCACACACGTTTCGTAGGCCGTGTGGAATGAAGAGAATATTCAAGCGCTGAAGACTCGAAGTGGTAGACTACAGCGGGGACCAACTCCTGACGCGATCACGAAGTACCTTACACAAGCTGGATTCATACATGTCGCACAATTCTAAGAAATCTTTCCTTGACTTGTTGACAAATTCTTCCATTGTCACATCTATGTCTTCATCATCCATAACTTGGAAAATAATATATTGTTCTTTGGACTATAATCTAGCAGACCATAGTGATAGTCTAAATCTATTCCGATCTGAATACAAGACTCAACCCATAAATAGTCCAAGAGACCCAACGGACAAAGGCTAAGAAAACGCATTTCACTTGCGTAGACGCCATCTTGCATGTGCTAAAACTATGGTAACAATAGCTTAGGACATACAACCACCCTACTAGCCAATAGCTAAGGGACAGACACATAGTTCCAGCGATTCCTAGAAGGTTTAGCCCATAACTAGACATTTCATACATGTGAGAGCCTATAGAAGCCATTTCAGCCCACCAATTGGATTAAATTCTGTTATTCTACGGCAGCATAATTAGAACAACCAATTACTATATAACAAAGCTTGAAGTCTAGGTATGAGCATCTTATCCGTTTTTTACTAAAGCGCATTTATTGATCAAATACTTACCTGAACATCAGTATACCTTGAAGGTATCCCACATTTATCCCGGCCAAACAAGACCATTCAACATCATATTCTCTATCTTGCAGAAGTATCTCTTAACCATGTGGTCTATCTCAATATCTAGGGAACTGATTAATATGTTACTGAAAAAACAATAATAAATTATCCTTTAACACACATAATGTTATAAAATGTTTTTCTTTAAAATTATTTGGTTAAATAATGATATATAAATGATTTTATATTTTCATTATACTTCCTCACTCCTCACGCAATATGATTTTTTAGACTTGAAGTCTGAAGAACAAATCCTCGGACAAACTCGCCCTTCTTGTATAATGACATTCAAATTTTATTTAAAAGAATAGGACAATAAAGATTAATAAACTTTAAATCACCTCATTCTTATAGAAGGTCTAAGGCCTTGTTATAAGCTATTTTTCCAAAAATTTAAGGTATTGGGTGAAATCATGTGAATTATTTAATATTTCGGCGATAATATATACTACTAATATTTTTTCTGTATTCTTTTGACATATTAACATTTACACCCATTTTTGCAACACATCGGATCACACACTATGTTGAAGCCAGTTTTTGTGTGCAACAACCCACGCACTAATGGGTCATTGAAAGGTATCAGAGAGAGAGAAAGAAAGAGAAAGAAACTGTAATTGCAAAAGTGAATTATGAAAAGCTTGATTGATCAGTTACACTTGAGATCTATTTATACTTAGATCTGTTAATAATAGCTAACTCACTATTTATAACTAACTAACAATTGGGTTAACAGAATTCTGTTGAATTCTGTTTTGGATACATATGGGCCATTGGGCCTTAGTATATCTGTCATCCCCCCACAAGCTGAGTGGGCTTGGAGGCAAGGACACACAGCTTGGACTTGAACTGATGGAAAGATGAAGTGGAGATAGCCTTCGTGAGCCCATCCGCTAGCTGATCAGGAGCAGGTACGTGATGAACTGATACTTGCCTAGCTAACACCTTTTCTCGTACAAAATGGAGGTCAAGCTCAAAGTGCTTGGTACGATTGTGAAAAAGGGGATTAGCAGTGAGAAGAACAGCTGACATATTATCACAGTAGATGGTAGGAGGACGTGGAATGGTGATTCTAAGTTCAGAAAGAAGTGACTGGATCCAGGTGAGCTCAGCAACAGTAGCAGCCAAGCACCGGTATTCAGCTTCGGTGCTAGATCTACTGACAACATGTTGTTTCTTCGAAGACCAAGTAACCAGGTTGGAGCCAAAGAAGATACAGAAGCCACTGGTGGAGCGACGATCATCAAGATCCGAACCCCAGTCAGAGTCACAGTAGGCAGCTAAGTTGAAGTTGGAGGAAGGATTGATGACTAAGCCATGAGACACCGTACCACTCAGGTAACGCAAGATCCGCTTGACTGCCTTCCAGTGAGTGTCTAAGGGTTTGTGCATGAACTGACACACCTTGTTAACACTAAAGGTTATTTCAGGTCTAGTGATTGTAGCGTACTGGAGGGCACCAACTATAGAGCGGTACTGTGTAGGGTCTGAATAAGGAGATCCATCACGAGAAGAGAGTTTGGAGCTAGAGATCATTGGAGTAGGCATGGTTTTGCAGTCATGCATGTTAGCTTTCTTAAGAAGATCATGAATATATTTTGACTGATGAAGATGATATCCTCCAGAAGTTGTTTTTGTGGCCTCTATACCAAGGAAGTAGTGGAGAAGTCCAAGATCTTTAAGGGAGAAGGCTTGATTCAGAGAATCAATTAAGGATTGGATAGCAGATGAACAAGATCCAGTGACAAGGATGTCATCAACGTAAACTAGAACAAAGAGAGTGGTGGTTGGAGTAATGGATATGAACAGGGAGGAGTCACACTTTGCTGTGGTGAAGCCAAGTCTAAGGAGAGTGTTGCTGAGTTTCTCAAACCAAGCACGAGGTGCTTGTTTGAGACCATATAGTGCTTTGGTAAGTCTACAGACCAATGTTTTGTCTTGGTGAATGAAGCCAGGAGGCTGCTGCATGAAGACCTCTTCTTGAAGCTCACCGTTCAAGAAGGCATTATTAACATCCAGTTGATGAATGGGCCAATTCTTCGAGAATGCAGCAGTGAGGACAACACGAATGGTGGTTGGCTTGACTACAGGACTAAAGGTTTCCTGATAGTCAAACCCTTCTTCTTGATGGAAGCCTTTAGCTACAAGGCGAGCCTTATATTTAAGGATGGTGCCATCTGGGTTAAACTTTGTACGAAACACCCATTTGCAGCCAATAGGAGATCTGTTTGGAGGAAGATGGACCAGTTCCCATGTGTGATTGCGTAGAAGAGCAGAGTGTTCTTCTTGCATAGCTTTAAACCAATGAGGCTGAGCAATAGCTGCAGCTGTAGATGTAGGTTCTAGACTTGCCAAGTAGGCTTTTGGTTTAAAGATGCCTGCTTTAGCCCTGGTAGTCATGGGATGAGTAGATGCTTGAGGAGGATGTGTATCAGTAGAGGACCTGCAAGTAGAATTAGTAGTCCTAACAAAAAAATCATGCAATGGAACACTCAAGTTTGTACTGTTGGAGTGATGGTTGGGCGAGTGAATAGGTGGAGGACCCAATATAGAGTTGGTGGAAGGAGATATAGTAGGATTCGGGTTCAGAGGCAGCGAGGAATTAGTGTGAGTAGTGTGTGAATTGACTGGAATTAAAGGACCTACTGGAATTATGGGACTTATTGGAATTATGGGACTTGAAGTCTGACTAGTAGGAGTTGGGATAGAGATGGGATTAGGTGACTTAAGAAGATAGGGAAAACTAGTTTCATCAAACAAGACATGTCTAGCAATGAAAGTTTGACCAGTTGGACTTAGACATTTATAGCCTTTATGGTGAGTGTTGTACCCAATAAAGGTACACTTGGCTAATCGAAAATCAATCTTATGTTTGTTATAGGGTCTTAAGTAAGGGTAGCAACTGCAACCAAATGTCTTTAGAAAGGAATAGTCAGGGGTAATGTGGAAAAGAGTCTCAAAAGGTGATTGTTGATTTAAAGTGGGTGTAGGTAATTGGTTTATAACATAGGTGGCAGTGAGGAAAGCATCCTCCCAGAATTTTTGGGGTAGGTGAGATTGTGCTAGTAGGGCCAATCCAGTTTCCACTATGTGTCTATGTTTCCTCTCTGGTTTTCCATTTTGCTGATGTGTATATGGACAGGTTAGTCGTTGGATAATACCTTGTTGTTTTAGATATTGAGTGAGTTTAAGGTACTCCTTTGCATTGTCTGTTTGCAAGGCTTTTATTTTGCTGTCAAATTGGAGTTCAACCATAGTTTTGAACTGAACAAAAATTTCATAGGTTTGTGATTTATTTATTAAGGGATAGATCCAAGTGTAGTTTGAGAAAGCATCAACAAATATTATGTAGTATTTTGCACCTGATGTGCTCTCTATAGGTGCTGGACCCCATATGTCTGAAAGGATTA